TCTATTGAATTTTTAAGACCAATTTGGGAAACTTCATGGGTCGTTGGCGCAGCCGCTGGTCTATTTGCTCCTGAATTACACATTTTTGTCTTCTTGGTATTCTTGATAGACGACAAACTCGCGCAACGTTGTAAACGAATTTATTGAATTGTACATTGTTAATTCGTTGGACTATGCATGTAACCCGAGCTCCAGATCGTGGCCTGCCAAAAATGGCAGGGTCGCCATGTACGGATGGCGTTGGGGAGATGTATTGAAAACACCAGGTTGATATTAAGACTTTCATTTATTAATAATGTAATTGATTATATAGGAGTGATTATATGGCTACTATTATAGTATACGTATCTTACCTTACAATATATAACTGTAAAAAATTTTGTATCTTGATAAATAAATAAATAAATTCGAATGAAATCTCGTATTGTGATACGAGCGTTTCAAACTCTGACAATTTGTACTGAAATTAGTAGTCCTTTAAGGGTTTGGTGTTGGATAAAAAAAGCGTAAGAAAAAAACAAAGATCGCAAATAATAAACTGTGCGATGAAATCTAAATGGCCACGTTTGATCTTGGAAACCACAGTGGTTCTCAGTACAATTCATAAATCAGATCCATTTCCAAAAATCGGACTGCAATTCTGATATCAGCACCTTGAAAATGTATAATACCTATTTCGTGCAACAAAAATGCTATTCACTTGTGTAGTTTATAATCTAACGAGATAGATTATTAAGATAGCTTTGGTATACACTGACAATGAAGGCTAAATTATGTATTGACTGCAGTTGAAAAGTTAAAGAAAGAATTTAATTTAGAAAAATATAAACAAACTTAGTCTGACCCAAAAAGCTTCTAGCTAAAAAACGACGTCATTATAAGTAGACGATTATACATAGCGATAAACGTTATAGGTTTAGTTTGGTTTCGGTAAGGGTAGGGTATAAGATAAGGATAGGGTTGCCAACTTTGAAAAGAACTAACCCTGGAGAGATTTTTTACAAATCAAGCTCGAGGGATGGCCTTTTGGGAGATCTCGAATATTTTTTATTTTCAAACGTATATTTACATTGCTTTCGAGCAACAGTCAGCAGAGTGAACGATGTAGATCAGGAAAGCAAGGCGTAGGTGATGGTGGCAATTAAGTTTACGTTTAGAAAGTACAGGAGAAATTATTGCGTCACGGGATCTCGGGAGATTAAACGTTGTTACTGGATTCTTCCGGATATTCCGGAGAGGTAGGGAACCCTTGATAAAGAGTCAATATAGGATATTGCTAAAATGGATTAAACAACGGATTAGTTGCCTTCGCAGGCCCACTAACTAGAACGAAAAATACAGGCCCATACATTACATATTTAGGGCTTGTAAGAAAGTAAATGTGTTACAAAGTCGTAAAAAACAACATAAACGATCGTAAATAATGGCAAAATTACTTACAATATTATCGTGAGTTCTTATGAATTCTCACAATTGGGTTAATTATGAACTAGGTCAGTATTGTTTGATTCAGCTATGAACTCGATCGTATATTGATAATTCTGTATCTTCGTTTACTCTATCTACATTATGTAATAAAACAAACAACGTTACGCCACAAGAAAATAAAATTATGGTTCCAATATAGTATATTTAACAGGCTTAGAAACAAAAGGTTTTCAATTTGTCAGGTGGTAATATGGGTTATGACTCGTCAGGTAAGTAATTTTATATTTGATGATGAGATTCTGCAAAATTTTAGTGTTTGTAAAACCTACATACATTCATCTCTTACAAAATCAAGAGATTTGCAGTGCTATTCTATTATAAAGAAGGCTTCGTTCGTTTGAAGTTCAATCAAGACACCAACTTGCTAATGTGTTTAGGGAATAGTCACGTTTTTTTTAATTTAAAAAAAAACATATAAATAGACATGAAAATTGTGTGATTATATTTTTAAGCGCAATTGAAAACATCGAACAAATTTAAGCCGTTCAAATGCGATATTAGAATTTTATATTACGTAAAATTCTAATATATAGACGTAATTAAGGAACAATTCAAATGGCAAATGGGTTATAGGAAACGTTTATAGTTTTATTGTAAGTAAATATTAAACATTTGTGAATATCTATATTATGTAGAAAAATATAATATGTAACATAATTACTTTCCAGCTTTCACTATTTTAATCTCGGCGCTCGTAAAATCGAGATTAGATGCAAAATATGCACCATCATGAATACTAATTTCGTTAAATTATGCGATTGTGGTTTCGCAAAACCAGTGTTGTTACCATATTAGGCTGTTAACTAATTTTATTCCCAAGTAATAACAGTTTTAATTAACTTTCCTCTTAACAGTTTTCACATCACAGAATCAGAGATGAACATCGATGTCGATAAATCAAATGACCATCGATGTAGATACATTATAGAATATAAGAAAATATTGGAGCCTTATTTAAATTTTATGCATATTCCCTAATAAGTGGATAAACTCACTTTAAATAAGGTTTTATTTCATTGACGCTGTGACGGGGTCGATGCTTAGGCAAATTAATAAAAGACTGACTAAGCTTGAAAACTTGATTTAATAGAGGTTAATAAGAACAACTGTAATAAAAAAATTAATATAAAAACAGTTCGTATGATTACCTAAATATATAATTAGAATAGTTAAATAGAACATTTACATACCCCGTTTCTGGGTTTTTCGTAATAGGTAGAACTTAGGAGATATTTCACGAAGGTATACGTTTACATTTTTCTTTTTTAAATTATAACTTTATTATTAATAGATTTATATGATTAAATTATCATGTTCTCACCAGATGATTTTTTTTACGAACTGACATTCATACAGAGCATATTGGATTAGTCAAAATTTCAAATAAGGAAAGATGAATAATAAAAAGAAGTGACGTTGAAGATCAAAGGCAAAAAGTTTGCATGCTGATACCTAGGACGAAATAAACGGTCGGTGGTGTGACGCACCGTTACAACGCTTTCTGCTGTCACAGCGCTGTGTGCTCCACATAGCGATCGACATTGTTTTTTTTTTAAGAATAACATTGCTAGTATATTCTACAAGTCACTCCCGTAAATATATTATGAGGTTTGGAATTTTCTTCTTTAATATTATTAGTAGTTTTTTATAAATCTGAAAAATAACACTTAACAGTAACTTTTTGTGATAAAAATTAATACCGCTGTTTGTAAATATGTAATAATTTCAAGAAACTTTTTTTTGTAGTTTATGTTGAAGAAAATAATAGCTTATTTAATTAAAAAAAAAATACCTGCACTGTATGCACATTGAACAAAACTTCTGATTGATGCTTAATTTAAACCTACCGAAATTAAAACAACTACAATTTCGTTATGTAAATGAAGTAATTATGAATAAAGGATTAAAAACAAGGCTGTCGTTTCCCGTATTCGTGACAGTAGTTAATTCTGTACATTTTGGGTAGGGCTTAATTATTTTTACCTCTGACGAATAGCTTTTATTATATCATTAACAGTTGGTACCTATAAAAGAGTCTTGTTCGGACTGAGGTTTTCTGTATTTTATTCAATGATAACCACCCGACTTCAAAGTTTCTTGGAAAATTTGACCGCTTTTAAAATAAGTATTATTTTTCACTTTTTAAAAGTTTGAAGTCTGTTCTATTTTGTGAAACATGTTTTTTGTGTACCCTAAAACTAGTCAAGTGTGAGTGGAACTTGCGATTCCCGAGCGAGCAGTTACAGACAGAATAAACGCGTAAACTACCACAGAACACAGAAAAGAGGTCGTTTTTCTGTGTTCTGTGTAAACTATCACAACCTACGAGCAACTAAGATGATGTCTGTTTAAAAGCATATTAAGTTTTGTTATAAAAAGAAAACTAGTGCTTCGATTTGGATAAAATTTTAATCGGACCGCCCCGGCCCTTTATGCTGTTTAAGCCCCATTTTGAAAATCAATTCATAATTGAAGGAGTAATCGTGTTACAAACACACAAAAAAACATACAGTCGAATTGAGAAATCCTCCTTTTTTGAAGTCGTTTAAAAACAACAAACACACACCTGGGTTTGGATTGTATAATGGCAATAATGGACTTATCGATGGAAATACGTTCACTAGAAGCGAAAAGTAAATAGTTGGAAAATCGTTAGTCCTATTGGGTCCCGGGTAGCTTATTGGTTAGAGCAGTTGCCCAGATTACTAAAGGTTCGAATGATATTTTTCTTTCAAAATATTCACTAATCACAAGTTCATTGCTTTATTTTATTAGCTTTATTGAACACATTATTCATAGGATTTCTTGACTCATAACGTAACATTAATCTTCCATAAGAAGTTTTGTCTTTTAGTTATATGCCGTATCGTGTAGCCAAGAAAATAAAAATACTCGAACCGAATATATTCGGCACTAAAACCGAATAATTCGGCCGAGCACGAATAGTGAAAAGATGGCGAATACCGAATACCAAACAAATATACGGCGCATCTCTAGTTGTTATAAACGACTACGTTGGTAACACTGCTATCAAATCCATAATTTTTGTTTATTATTCATTCATCGTTATTAAAATACATGTCAAAATAGTAAAGTGAAACGAAATATCGCCATAACATCGATAACACGTCGTATGCTATGGCTATAATCATAGCCAGAGAGTTAGCGGTCGCACCCCAGGAATTACACAAAAACATTTTCATGTAAAGTGTAGCCAAGATTCGTACCACAGGAAAAGAAAAAACAACCTTTTTTCTTGTTCTGTGGCTCTTACCATCAAAAATTTTCAGATCTTAATTAGAGTTAAGCCTCTCACTCTACGTGCCCTAACTCTACAAGCCTTAACTTTTCAAACTACACCTACTTCTTAGTCAAAACATGTGGCTTGGCCGTTTCGTTATTACAAGAAATATTATTGTACTTATAACAAAGGAATAATGAACAGTACGGAGTAGTAACCTTACGTCTAAGGTAAGCCGGCCGTAATTCAAGCTTTACCCTTTTATATCTAGGTCTCATCAGCAAGAGCACCTGCAGAGGGCGCTGTATGCGCGCTGGTCCGCAGCGCTAACAACGACTGCATCCGTCAGCTGTTGCCTGCGCTGATCGCTAGAATGACTCGTGAGCCACTGCCCACAGCGCTGCCGCATGCGTTACTGCAGCGCTTAGCGCTACATCATGTCGTCGACTTGATATTCGACCCCAGTATCATCGAAGTGGGTACATACAAATACAAAAAACTAGACTTAGAAATCATGAAGATTCTAACACTCGTATCTATAGTCGAGAGAAGTAATTACCTAAGCAAATATTTTTAACAAATTAACAAGAATTTGTACGGAGTAATAACTGATAATAGTGGGAATACTATTATTATTAGCTATCACATATATAACATATCTTACTTCACTAAATTCTCGTCTATTAATATTTGCTTAAGTTATGTCATTTTCTCTTACTTAACTCGACTAGTATTTATGTTTCCTTATGGGCATGAGCATGACGTAAAAGCTGGATAAAAGATTTAATCTATATTCGCAACAATAATTTATTATTTAAGGTTAGAACTAAATATGTAGGTATATATGTATCCTTGTTCAATGACATTATATTATAGAAATTTTGAATAGTGTATTCGACTTTTTTATCAGGATTTCCTTATTTATCTGAGCGAACGACTTTCAAATTGTAATTTCCAAAGAAACTATTAAAAGCTTAGTGACAAGTTATGACAATGAAAGAATGATAAAAACAATAAAAATAATAGAAAGATGAGAGTTCTAGTGGTAGCCAGTTCACATCTAGATTTGTAAGATGACATTGTAAATACCTCGAGAGCTTGTGACATAGGACAGAGAAGAAAATAACAAAAGATGGAAGTTTAAAAGAAAATGATTAATAGATTTTCTTATATTAACTTTTAAGTGATTGACACCCGGTAGCATAATGGTTTAATTAAGGTTTAATGACAACTTAAAGCTGTAATTAATGATCAAAATTTGGAAATTAGTATCGGTAATGTCGCGTTATAGTAATGACAATTTTGATGGATTTTTGTGCAACTGATGTTAATAGTTAGATTGTAATACATATATCGTGTCGTTACCAGGCATCCGGTGATACTGACCGTGTACAGTCGGCACAGCTTCGTGCAACATTGTGTTTAGCACGAGCCGCTGGCCCGGCAGCTGTGTTGTCGGCTGTACGCCGCCGTCTTGCAAACACAGCGAGAGCTGACGTCTTCTGCGCTAAAGTTAGTCTTTGACGATGTTTACATTGCTTAATTAATAGATTAAATTTATCTGAATTTCTGTATATCCATTCATATTCATAACCCCCTTCTTGTTTCATGCAAATTGTCTTCTTGTCCTCCACTTTTCAGTCACTGGCGCCACATTCAATATAAAGAAGTTTGTCAATAGGAATGATGCCTGAGTAAAAAAAAAAATCTTATTATTATAGTTTATCAATATTTGCATTCACAGTGCTGTACTGGCAAATATTCTTAATCTTAAATGCTTTAAAAAACCACCAGCTCCTAGGATGGATAGAATCAGATAATAGAAAAATATTAGATACGTATTTTTTGTTTCAACGTAATAATAAATTACTTAGATAATAAGCTATATAAATATAATAATATTTGATCAATTTGAAAAAAATTGATGACCATCGTACGTATAATATTTTACTTTTGGATTTTGAAGTCGATTAAAAAATAATAAGGTATATCCTATCTCAGAGTGCCAGGGAAGGGACAAAGTAGATTTTTAAGCGATTTTCATTAAGAATATTAGAGGCTCGCTACATTACAACTATCTAGAAAATGTACAAAGGTGCGATGTCATGTGACATTATAGCTCAAAGTATCGCCGTAAATCCTGTTTAATATTCTCCAATAAATCTACTTTGCCTATCAGACGAAAAAAAGTACATCCCGATTGTAGATAATACATAAGTATTTAGATCTCTCAAGCAATTTATTTACTAGAAAATTATTTTCAGTTGCGAGAACGACTAAGCAGACCCGTGGAAAATGTTAAGCCGAACCATTTTGCGAGGTACCTAATTCATAACTATGTTTTTATAATTTCAAATATGCCGTGAAATCATTTTGAAGAGAATTAAAATTTCAAATTAATGATCTCATTATTCTAGTACACGACAACCACTACTAGAACGACGTTAGATGGTCCTACTTTTAGATTTCCATTCTTTTCAAAAGCTTTAATTTTTTATTTTTCTGTAAAATTAATTTATTACGAAACTTGAGAGGTATTATTTTGTTCCAGGAGTTCACAACTACCGGTGCCAGTGCGTAGGAGGGCGAGGTCCACTCCATCCCCGGCCGCACCCGCGCCCCCGCGCCGCCTGAGGCCGCTACCAGACTCAGCGCCACTACCAGGTACAAACACTATTCGGGGGCCGGATGTGGAGCACTCACTGCGGGATCCCAAGGTCTTGTTTTCCTCGCGTTTAGTGGGTATCCAGGTCTTGACTAGCCTTTGGGCGGGTCCCTGCCGCCTCAAGCAGCAGTGACAGTGCATAAAGTAAATATGCGTTTGGTATTTGGAATTCGCTTTTCCATTTTTTTTTTCTATCTGTATTCGGCCGAATTTTTTAGTTATATTGTCGAATATATTCGATACGAGTATTTCTATTTTCTTGATTCAGTATTTCTATTTTATGTTACATAAGTCAAATGAATTTTATAAAGAATGTGTTCAATAAAGTGAATAAAAAAAGCAATTCAACTTTAAATCAACATTTGTTTTTAAACCTGCTCCAGTTGGCAATTTAGCCGAATATCAGGTTCGGTAAAGGTTAAACCGAACAGTATTCGGTATTCAGTTATTCGGTGAAACTGCTATTCGACGCTTCCCTAGCATAAAGCATCCGAGAAAAAAGGTATAAACACTATGCAACGCCGGTCTTTTAGGTGATGCCGCTGTCTCCTTTTTCCGCCAAATTACCAGAGTTTTCATTAAATTTACCAACTTTTTCATGATACTAGGTACTGTTTGCTCAATAAAGTTTGCTCAATAAAGTGATTAAACATTTTTGTCACAGGTGTCATTCAACCTGGAAGGGAATACTACCTCAAGCCTTTATCTCCGATACCACTTAGCGACAGGTGAGTTCAATCAGAAAATGTATTTTTTTTAATATTATACAATAACATATAAATTACTATGATACTTACTATATACCAAATGAAACAGCTACTAGGTAGCTTTGTTGTTCCAGATATAATACAAGTGGTATTATATACCATTTGTAAATCTGAAACTATAAAGGTACCACAATACCCAGACAAGAATTATTTATATTTTATTTTTTTACAATATTTATTTGAAAATTAAACGAAAGATCAACTAATTTAGTTAGTTTCGTTGTTAAAGATAAGTAAATATACATTGCAAGTATAAATAGATACATAATAATCACCAGCCTTTTTACGTCCCCACTGCAGGGGCTCAGGCCTTCCTTATGGATGGTTAAGGATGGTGCTTCGGAAGGCACGTTAAGCCGTTGGTCCGGGCTGCATTTGCAGTCGGTAATACCCTCCAATCCGCATTGGGCCAGCGTGGAGGGTCATGGCCCATCCTTCTCCATAATAATAATAATAATAGATAAATATATACAAGTAAAATAATTTTCGGTATTTGGCAACGAAATGTTGGGACAACTTACCACCTCCCATCAGACAGGCTAAGTCTAAGTTTGCTTTTAAAACTCCTTATTGTCAAATATAATTTCCACAATCACTGAAAAAGGTATTTATGAGTTTTTAACCAGTAGCTAAAATAAGGTTTCACGATTCTAACTTCAATATTGAAGGAGTTCCAAACAAACTTGCAACACCCATTTCACCCCTGTAAGGATAAAATTTCATTAAACGGTAAAGCAGTAGTTTACTCATTTATTTATTATCAGAGGTCGGAATTAGGTAGAGTTATTTTTGTACTTGCATCGAAATGTTGATATTAATGTGGACCTTCCCGGGATTGCTTTATTTCTTCTTTCTTTCATTGATGTAAGTTTGGCAACGTCATGCGTGCAGTAGTTTATATTGTGTAAAAGTAAATAACTTTTTATTTAAAAAATCACGGGATTTTTTCTGCTCTTTAAAATTAATCTCGGGATTTGAGGCATATCCACTTTAGTCTTTCGCTGTATGAAATCAGTGTAAGTACATGAATAACTCTACCTAATTTCGACCACTGATTATTATTAACGTAAAAATAAAGTTTCGTGTTTCTAACTTTAAAAGTGACAGATTTCCATGCAAATTTTCAACCCTCATTTCACCCCTTTAAAGGTTGAATTTACAAAAATCTTCTCTTATTGAGTATAAACTACACAAAATTATTGACAAAAGGTTATCGGTTCAACTTCAATAGTAAACGTTTGACTATGATGATTACTTAATTAATCAAAACAAGTTCTTTTATAAATAAAGATTGATTACGAGCATATTTCGTCACAATAATCTATACTATACATTAATTTCTTTTAAATTATTCAATATTAATAACTAAAGCATTCTTTATTTATTAAATATATTTTCTTAAGACAACATAATTTTTATGCGTTCAGATCGGGCATTTATCGGGCAAATAAAAATTATTTTTAAAATGCCTGGTTTTTTTCCCTATCTGCCCGCCGGGCGAAAAACCATTGCCCATCTCTAGTTGTGGCATACGACTACGTTGTCCTTTATTCATCGCTATTATAATAGATGTTGAAATTAATTAATTTACTTGACATTGGCAGAATTGTGCGAAATGCGCAGATAAGCCATAAATAAAAGAACAAGAAGAAGAAGAAGCTATTATAATATAGCTACCGCAGTAAAATAAATTTCTGATTTCAGTATTTTTAGAGTGCAATTTATAATATAATATAGTTGTAGTTTTTTAAACTTATTTTTTTTATTTATCGTTTATGTGCATCTCTCGATGCCCGGTCCGACTCGCCAAGACCGTTTGTTAAGATTCCGTAAAACAGGACCCAATTACTAAGTCTCCGCTTTCCGTCCGTCTGCGTCTGTCTGTCTTTAAGCCGAGTTAGTTAGTCATTTGAATTTTTCAAAGATGGTCGGTATTTTTTCAAAATAATGTAGGTCCTATACCTACTTAATATATTTTTTTAAATATCTTTATTCAGGTAAGCTTGTTTCAAGCACTTTGGAATCGACAAAAAAAAATTTCCCCTGCCACTTGTTCAGGATACTTACTGTGTATAATATAATAGGTCAATAAAACCTATAACATGACTACGGCGCGGTCTACGGTCCGCCACGCTAGCCTACTACGCAAATCACTACTTGTTTTTTTCCGCTACGGAAACTACGCATACTACGAACCTTTAACAGCACTGCGATTCAGTAAAAATAAAAACCCGAATTCGTGTTCACTCAGGTGTCTGAATACACTTCAAAAAGCGGCATGCGCTCAACTTTGAATTGGTTATAACGTTTTGTGGCATAGTGAAGTGAGTTTCGAAATGAAATAGGAATAGAATATCTGATACACGTATATTCAATCAATTTTGTTTGTATTTCTATACAAAAATGGAAATAATACAATTTCCACATTAAATGTCGTGAATTCGGATACATGAGTGAATTCGAATTCGGGTCTGGAGTTTTACAGAATCGCAGGGCTAATTAGACAAAAATATAGGTATTTATCGATTTCTCCGAGAATTTTTATTTATACAGTCGACAGCACATCTTGTTATATTTGACAAAATCTACTTGATTTTAACCTTCGATTTACGGATAACTGAGTCCAAAATCCACTGTGGAAATTTGACATATCGTGATAATCTGACATGCTGCTGTGTTTATTTTAAATGCCCATGTCCAATCTCTATTTTAAACCGACCTTTAAAAAGGATGTGACGTATTTTCCGTAAGGTATGCACCAACTGTAAAGATCATTAACTTCTCAAGTCTAATTTAGTGGCTAATTTAATGTGTCGGTGCTTAGGGTGTTAATTGTTTGTCTGAACGCCAACTGATATTATTAAGGTAACGTCATAGTAAAACCAAAAAAGTACGGCGACTCGAGCCACAGAGCGAGCTTAATAGCCTAAACACGTGGGGCTGCCGCTTATAGATTGTTCAATCGTCAGAAATGCATAGTCAAGCGGCCCAAGGATTGCATGGGCAAGGCATAGCCACGACTGATGATTTGCCATTCGTGCCTTCAACATCTTTATCATAAATAAATACTGTAAATATTGTAAGTGTGTGCGTGTACAAACTATTTTCGGTACGTATGTCTGAACTCAATGTACTCTTTGGTTTTACTATGCTGGATGTTACCACTCATGCCTTCAGCATCTTTAACATCAATAAATACTGTAAATATTGTAAGTGTGTGCGTGTACCTACAAACTATTTTTAGTACGTATGTCAGAACTCAATGTACTCTTTGATTTTACTATGCTGACGTCGTTTGTACTTTGCGTCCTTGACTGTGGCCTTGTAAAAATAACGTACTTTTGGTAAAGTAAACATTGAAATATAAGTTGTTGACAAGCTAATGTATATAGCTAATGGATTATAGTCTGTAACTCCATTAGTGCAATATATAAGTTTTATCTATTTGTGTTGTAAAATTATCCATCATATATTTTAGTGGATGAACTATGACCAGCTATGCTATTTTGTTAAAAGAAAAAACAGTCAGGAACTCGACATCGAGATCAGCGCTATCACAGCGTAGAGTTTCAATGAAACAACAATTGAATATAATAATTGTTGACGCCGCTTCATTGCTTTACTTTTCTTATTTAACTTTTTTCTAAATTATATTTCGATTTCCTTATGAGTGCACCACTAAAGGAATATCTGGTGTACTTTCGGGGGTCTGCTGTTCTGCGTCGCCGCCGTGGACGCTACGAACTATGAAGGAGGTTGTATTACGTACGCAACCTCACCGCTGGCCGCATAGACGCCACGACGGCATAAAAAGAAGAAAACTTCTTCTGTCATTCGCCTTTTGTCTTTTCACAACAACGCTTAAATAATATCTACCAGCCGCATAAATAATATAAATATTTCATCATAATAAGTATACCCAGACTGAACACCAGAAGGATTGTGGACGGAGCGGTATTGGAGTTCGTGTCCAAGTGGCGTACATCAGTTCAGTAAGTACTCTCGATTTTATATCAGGGTTCCATCGGGTGCGCTCTAAGGATAATCTCTTTCTTTATTTCTTTTCTTTCGCTTTTTTTTCTCTGTAACAATTATTTACCGCATACGATTAAGATCCCGCGTGAGGTCTCGGCTATTTACACGCCGCCTCACCATTATTTATTGGTCCTTCTTCGTTCGGATATTGTATCAGCGTTTTTATACTTATTTGGAAGTTCATAGATCATTGCGTAATTCATTGGCAATATATCTCGACTTTCATAAAACAGCATATCTTATTATTATATCTATATAACATATAATTACTTTATTTCATTCCTATCATACTTATTTCATTTAATTACACAATGTCGGAAAATAAACAAAATAAATTATCTATACTTCATTGTAAAAAGGAGTCTTTATTTGCACGTTTTAATCGTTTATATAAGTTGTCACAAAATATTTCTACTTTTGATTCAAGATCAAACGATGATTTCGTTACTGAGACGGAAACATTAGACAGTTTATTCTCAAAATATGAGAGCATTATAGATGATATTAATGAGCTTACTTTATCTATAAATGCTGATGCGAAGCCGGATTATTCGGCGCTTGATTCGTGTCAGGATTTATACATACGTATTAAAAGTGCTCGTAACAAAATATGTTCTGAGTCTTTATCTTTGCGATCTGATTGTGTAAAATATAATAAAACTTCAATTAAATTACCTCCGATAGAGTTGCCTAGCTTTGACGGAAAAATTGAAAATTGGTCGATATTCTATGAGACTTTTAAGTCGAATGTTCATAATAACGAACAACTTACCGATTCACAACGTGTACAGTATTTAGTTGGTAAACTTACGCATTCCGCTCTTAAGCTCACTGCGGGTATTGTACCTACAGGGGAGACGTATAGTATTATTTGGGATAGTTTGGTGAAAAAGTACCAAGATACGCGTACTTTAGGAACTCATTAT